CCAACACCATAAACGGTCCCCTAAGGACTGAGCCAGGAGTGATCCCTAAGCACCACTAGGTATGGCCCAAAAAAATATTCTCCCCCCAAAACATTCAAATACACCAAAAAAAATTTGTCATATTTGAATGTTGTATAGGATTAGCTTCTAGCATGCAGCCTCATGTACCCAATTTCAAGTCCTTGTTGAGAGGCTGCGAGGCAGCACAGTGTTAAGTGCATGCAAAGCACACCTTGCACGCATGAAGTCCAGATGTGATTCCACGACGGCATGACCCTCCCAGCACTGCCAGGGAACGGAATGCACCCTGACCATAACAGGTTTCTAAGGTCACTAGGAAATAACTATTGTTTATTACAGTTAGGGTACCACAGCTTTAAATATTATTACTGGGAATGGAGAGACAGTACAGTGGGTAAGGAACTTTTGGCTGATGGATTTAATCCCCAGCACCCCATATGGTCCCCCAAAGCACCACCAGTAATGTTCCCTGAGCACAGAGCCAGGAGTAAGCTCTGGGCACCATCAGTGCACACAACAGCTGCACCTTCAGGGCTCCAAGGTTCCTAAGTTGAAAGCTTGAGAGAAAGATGCTGCAGAAGATGGCAAGGCACTCTCTTTCTCCACCCTAGACCAGGTGAGGCCCCAGAAAACCAAAGATAGGGTGCCCACTTTCCACTGGGAACAGTCAACCGTCCTGCACAGCCATCTGCACTCGGCCCGAGGAGCACACGGGCCCTGCCAGTTTGCTTGGAACTAGAACCTGGATCTGGGCAGTCACTTGCTAGAACCCATTCGATTTCTTTTACTTTCGGGTTTTGTTTTTCTCTTTCACTTTTGGGCCATACCCAGCAGTGCTCAGAGATTACTCCTGGCTCTGTGCTCAGGGTACCATATGGAGTGCCAGGGATGGAACACGAGTCGGATGTGTGCAAGGCAAAGGCCCTATCTGCTGTACTCTCTGGCCCTCTATTTCCTTTTTAATGATGACATCATGCTCCCCAGCCCTAGGATGCAGGGAGGACTTGAGTCGGTGGTCCCTGTCCATCGCACAGGGTTGGGAGGGGAGTTGTACTTTCCCAGACCTCATTCCTCGGAGCCACAGCTGAGTGTGGGAGGACGAAAATTTCTCCACTTCTGTGCCGAAAAGTCTCATCTCAGAATTCAGATCATGCAGCGGCTGGTGATCTATCCTTCACACACAGATTTCAAAGTACAAGGCTGCCAATGAATTTATTCCTCATTTGGGACAAAGCTTAAAGGTCCTTACTCCTAATGACCGCAAGCTACGGGTGTGTCTGCCTGGCTCAGTGAACACAAACAATGCTGCTGTCTGCTCTCTGCTGACTTCTCAGGTTTAGGAAAATTTCCTCCAACTCTGCCTCTCCAGAGCCACTCAGCCTCAAGCTCCACAAGTGCCATGTGACACCTTCAGCAACTGTCTTAATCAAAGGGAGATTCCTGAAAGGAATTCCCCTTCCCAATCGCCTCAAATCCATCAATCCCCTAAATTAGGCTGGCTGGCGGTGTTTCTGGATTTCCCCCTATTTTTCAGCTTTGTTTTGGGCCACACTCAACTGTGCCCTTACTTCTGGCATACTCCTGTCTCAGCACTCAGGGATCATCTGTGGTGCTCATCTGGGGTACCAGTGATGGAACCCAGGTCAGCTGCACACAAGGCAAGTACTGTTCTACTATCTCTCTGGCTCTGGATTTTCCTGTCTCTAGATACCCCTATCTACATTAACTGGAAATACAAGTGCATGAAATGATAGATCACATGCATAGTCTCTGGCTTTCCATGACAGCATCCTGCAGGGATCACGGGGGAGTCAGGATTAGAAATTTTGGGCCTCGATCCTTCTGTAGGTTCTTCTAATCATACTTTTCTTGTGAAGGTTCAAAAATAAAGGAGACTGGTTAAGTACCTCATTTCAAAAACATAAAGTATATGAAAAGCAGAGAGCAAACTGTTGTAGATGGCCTTGTTTCAACAGAATCTGTAGTAATATCTAAGGAGAAGGAACTTCTATCAATGATCTCTTAAACAAGAACTTCACAAGAAAGAAACAACAAACTCATTTTGACATTTGATTACAAAATAACAAAAATACACACCTTCATTTTAATTTTTTACTAAAATACTTTCTTGTATACAGGGTAAAACAGAAAGTACATAATTATGTATATAGATCATGTAAAATACAAAAACATAGATTGTTGGGAATGTAGAATACATTAAAAATATCTTCAAAGAACCTTTCCTTAAGGCAAAATTTAAATATGTGGCTTATTTACATTTACCTCAATTTTCAAAAACTTTAGTTTCTCCTCTCCATTCTGATGCTACTCTGATTTAAATGTATTGTTCAAATATTGTTCACACATCTTACTTGGACTTCAAAACCTTAGAATTTATATTCTATATGAAAATTTTTAATAGTATCCTATGTAAACAAAGACTTGATTTGAATTATTTGATTTGGTGTCACTATTATGAGTACAGTTTTAGTGAGATATAGGCAGAGGACAAAAGAAGCTGATAGTAGAGAACCTCCTATATGAGGCTTTTATAAAAATCTAATGATTTAAAATTTAGTGTCTTTTAGAAGAATGTGGTTATAAATAAAGGTGACAATACAGGGAGTGAGCTCAACCTTGCATCAACGACCCCCACAGCAGGTCAGGGGAAGCCCAGGTGGTCTCCAACCATAGGGGCCCTGCTGGCTTCCCATACTGTTAAGTCCCTGAACTGTGAGGCTGCAAGACCCACCTGGAGCGTCCTCCGTCCCTATGATAATAGCTGGAAAAGGAGAAAAAAAGCAAAGGCAACAATTTTTTGTTGACAAAATGGAGTGTGTGTGTGGGGGGGTGGAAGCAGAGGCTGAGAATGTGGCTCAGCAGTAGAACACTTTCCTTCTGGTCAGAGGACCTGGGTTCAATATCTAGCATCAAGGAATAAGAGAAAGAAAAAAAAAGGAAAAAAAATTCTTTTCCTTAACCCATAATTTTAATCATAAAGTGAATGGTGCTTAGAATGGTAATAGAAGGCTTAAATTTTAGTGAGGCTTTTGAATTCCCAAAAGAACTTTTCCCTTTGGTTTTGGGACTGTATCTTGCAGTGTTCAGGGGCTACTTCTTGCTGTGCTGAAGAGTTACGCCTGGTGGTACTCAAGGGACCATATGTGGTTCCAGAGACAGAACTGGGGTCAGCTGCATGCGAGATAAGAAGTTTTACTCCTCTACTATCCTAAAATGCTGTACTTGAAAACAACAGTTACTCAAAAACTGAAATATAGAACTGAAAATGGAATCTTTTAAGTCAAACACTTCTTTAAACCCTTTCATGAGCCAGAAAAATTAAGCAAAATGTGGATATATAACACCGTTACCCTTAGAGATCACTTCTGAGGGACACGCAAGAGGTGAGGAAAGTGAGAGGAGCTTCTCCCCACACACAGAAGGTAGATCACGCATGTGCACATTTCAAACTTTAGTAATGAAGATATAAAAAGATAACTGTATTTTAAAAAGTTTGCTGACATATTGAAGGAAACTGTCAAAAAGCAGAAAAGTTTTATATTCTTAACTTGAGGTTATTCTGCAAAACAGCAAAACTGAAGTGAACAACTGGCTTCAGAGTTCGTGAAATTTCTAAGTTCAAGAGAAACTTCAAAGTTTCATTGGTTTTAATAAGAAGGGAAGCTATAATGTTTTCAAGGCACTTTTAAACAGAGGCATTCTCTGTAAAAGAAAAGGTTGTCCCAATGTTTTCTATTTAAACAGATTTACCCACGACCTAAATCTTAACTTTTTATAAACGCTAAAGTACCTTCAGTATTAAGAGTTATCAAAAAGAACAAAAAATGTTCCCTAAATTTTGATAATCATATTATTACATTTGATTTCATAGCTAACTGCTCTTCAAATAATGAATACAAAAATGTCTAAGAGCATTATCTATTTTTTATATACTACAATATTGAGCTAAAGAGGTATTCCTAAAAAATTACTTGCAATTCAAATATGCACTAGAGAATGTAATAATTTTGTTAAATCATTATTGGAATTAATATCATCTTCACAGAATTTTAAAATTTCATAATATTAACTTGCTGTGCAATTATTTAATGAGAACATCAGACACAGGTACTAAATATTATAAAATAATACCATTAATGTAAATAGTTTTAGGCCTGTTTCCCACCTGAACGCGCAGCATTTGGAGCTCTCCCAGTCCATATGGGCTGCCAACCCCACCCCCATCACTAGTTCTTTAGAAGAGGAATTTCGTGCTGAGGCAAAGGAGGCCATTCTCTCCTCTCAGCTTTACCATTTACAAACAAGGAGCAAGCTGTGCCCTGGAGCTGGGAGTGGAGTCTAGAGGGTGGAATTGGCAACGGGTTCCCATTCCTGGAGTTCTTTAAACTGGTACCTGAAGCCAGAGGGTGCTTCAGTACCCTTCTGCCGTGCCCAGCAGGAGGCCTCCCTCAGTCTCCTCTGGCCCTGGCCTCTGAGAGTCTGCGAGCACACGCTCCCACAGCAGCAGACACAGTGGGATGGATGCAAAGAAGCGACTCTTGAAACTTTTGTCAGCCTGTGGAGCAGCGGCTGGAGTCTACTATGTAAATCTTAAATGTAAAATACAATAAGCATTTCCTTTCTGAAACAGGTTGGAATTTCACTTGTTACAGTTATTTTTATGTGAGCTTTCAGGTGATAGATTTGAATATCTATCCCATTAATAGAACAGATTAAAAAAATACAAGACAGTGAAGAATGGAATACAACTGTAAAAACTCAATGTCCTAGGAGCAATACATAAAGGAATCAGTTCTTGTGACAGGGTGCGTCAAACAGAAGGCTTCTGGAAAGCTAGAACATGACATAAGGCTCTATATTAAAAACATCAGAACTTTTAAGGAATTCTCTGTGCACTGACTTCTGATATGACAAAAGTCCTACATGCATGTAAGGAAAAAGGCTTATAAAATCAGCGAGAACACAATTTAGCACATTACTATATGGTCAAAGGAACCCAGTCCAAATGCTTTCATCTTCTTAATCTGCTAGGATTCTCAAGCAAACTGTAGATGTAAAATTTATGAATGACATTTCATACGTTTCTTGATTAAACTGCTTTGTTTTACTGTCTTTCCCGTCTTTAAAACATGCAGTTCATACATTTGACAGTTTTACTGCCATAGTCGATACATTCTGGACCAATGCACTCGCAGCAGGCGTTATGGAACCAGCGATATTTGGATGCCCCCATGGACTCACAGGATATTTTGCATTGATGAATGGACATGCAGTCATCAAAATAAACCACAGTGCACATGTGCTCTGAAAGATAAAAATGGAAGACTGCAGAGTAAGAAAGAGGAAAAGCAGAACGGCGTTAATACTGAGCTGAGTATTATTAACAATTATTTATCTTACTTCTTTCATTTTATTGACAGCACAGGATGATGGAGTATACAGGGGAAAAATACATTTGTTAGCTTAGTTGAGAAGCCACAGATTTCTATGCAGCAGAAAAAAAGTCAAGGATTTCCTTCATTACTTTATTAGGTTTCACCTTTAATTTCAAAGATATATGACTGAGTTTAACATTTGCTATCTTGTAGAGATTTTTAGTATCATTATTGATTATCTTTCTTCGCCACAGCTGGCTGGCAAGGTTTACTCCTGGAGAGGTGCCAAGGGATCATTCCTGGCTGGCTTTATGCGGGATTGGGATCAAACTTGGCTTGGATGCACACAAGGCACTGGCCTGCTTGACTATCCCACTGTGGGCCTTAATCCACTCTACTATCTCCGTGACTCCAAGCTGTATTTTTTTTTTAATTTAAACATCCTGATTTACAAAGCTGTTCATAACACAGGTTTCAGGCATTCAATGTTCCAGCACCAATCCCACCATCAGTGTGACCACTGTCCCAAGATCCCACCTATCCCCAAGCCTGCCCCCCTAGGCAGACACAAGATTGCTTAGTTTTTACTTTTTGTTATAATACACACTAAAAAATTACTTCTATACTAATAGTTCCCTTTGTCATGGAGTTTGTTGCTTAGATGTATGAGATGGCACATGCATGCTGGCTCTCTGCGGTTACACAGGTCCTGGCTCTCTGCGGTTACACAGGTGCTGGCTCTCTGAGGTTGCACAGGTATGCTGACTATTACATCAATTTGTCTTAAAATTATTTGGATTCTATCCCTGTTCTCAGGAGTTGGTAACATCTGAAATTTTTTAAATTTTTCATAATGTTCAGAATTTGTAGCATTGTCCTCCCGTTGTTCATTGATTTGCTCGAGTGGACCCAGTAACATCTCCATTATGAGACTTGTTACTGTGTCTGGCATATCGCATACGTCACGGGGAGCTTGCGAGGCTTTGCCGTGCGGGCGAGATACTCTCGGTAGCTTGCTAAGGCTCTCTGAGAGGGATGGAGGAATCGAACTCGGGTTGGCCGTGTCGGCCAAGTGCAAGGCAAACGCCCTATCACTGTGCTATCTCTCCAGCCCTGTTCAGAATAATTGTTTATATTTAATATTTCAACGGCCATCCCACCATCATTGCACCTTCCCACCACCACCCTGTCCTGCCCCTGAGGCAGATGCTAAATAGTTTATTAAGCTTGTACAGCTGAGCCTGAGGTGGTTTGTGGGCACAACTCCCACCTACCTAGCTTTTGATGGTTTAATTTCTAGGAAAACTTGTTCCCAAGTTGTTGGGGTTTGGTTAGAGGCACAGCGGCAATTTTGGGGTATCAGAAAGCCTGAAGGCACCATCAGGCTGCTGATGCACTCACCCTGCAGGTACAGGTTGATCTGCTGGGTGGAACCGTACCCCCCAAGTTTTATTTTTTTAAGCCGGACATTTTCTGATCAGATATTTTACAGGGAAAGAATTCTCCAGCTAACAGCTGTGTCTAAAAATCCTGACCTGAAATTTTACTGAGAACTTAGAAAAAAATAAAAGATAATTCAAACGTGGCAGTGCTTGGCACAAATGAGCATTTGAATTAAAAAATCTTTCATTATGACATTGACTAAAAGAGACTTATTGTCCTGCAACTTTTTATTGTTTTTATTTCTCTCACTGTTAATCCATATAAACTGTCTAGCAAAAAAAAGGGATGATGCAATAAATAAAGTGCATGCAATAAATGAAAGACAAATAAAAATCATAAATAGAGAGCACATGTTTAAGACTAATTATTTTTCAGAGTCATTTAAAGAGCTGACAACTGTCAGGAATCTGAGCAGTAGGAAAAATGGGAAAAAAAGCTCTGAGGGAATCAAAGAGGAAAATTTCAAGGAGACAGGCTGCATATAATCCAGGGGATGGAGTGGAGCAGACGGGGCTGGCATCAGAGAGTGCAGAACCCCCACCTGGTCACCTGTCACAGAGGGCACTAGTGAGGCAGGGAATCCCCCCAAGCAGTGAGTGGAACAGGGAGCACTGGAATCTCTAGGTGGCTGGTACTGACCAAATACACTTCATGTGCTGGAGCAATAGCACAGCGGTAGGGTGTTTGCCTTGCACGCAGCCAACATGGCCGACCCGAGTTCGATTCCTCCGCCCCTCTCGGAGAGCCCGGCAAGCTACCGAGAGTATCTCGCCCGCATGGCAGAGCCTGGCAAGCTCCCCGTGACGTATTCGATATGCCAAACACAGTAACAACAAAGTCTCCAATGGAGACGTTACTGGGCCCGCTCGAGCAAATTGGTGATCAACGGGAGGGCCTTTACTTTACTTTTACTTATTTATTGGAGTGATAGCACAGCGGGTAGGGCGTTCGCCTTACAAGCGGCCAACATGGCCGACCCGAGTTCGATTCCTCCGCCCCTCTCGGAGAGCCCGGCAAGCTACCGAGAGTATTTGATATGCCAGACACAGTAACAACAAAGTCTCCAATGGAGACGTTACTGGGCCCGCTCGAGCAAATCGACGATCAACGGGAGGGCCTTTACCTTTACCTTTTACCTTTATTCAACATTTACCAAACACCTGGCATGGACTAGTCACGAGGAACTCAGGAGTTATTAGAGTCCAAGGAACTAATAGAAAAGATAAACCTGTGAGGTCTTTTTTTTGGGGGGGGGAGAGGGGCACTTTTTGGGTCATACCTGGCGATGCTCAGAGGTTACTCCTGGCTCATACACTCAGGAATTACTCCTAGCAGTACTCGGGGGGACGATATGGAATGCTGGGAGTCGAACCCTGGTTGGCCACATGCAAAGCAAACACCCTACCTGCTGTGCTATCACTCCAGCCCCAAACTTGTGAGTTAAAAGCATACACAAACTGAACTGCAAACGTGGGGAGGAGTAGGAAGTTATCTATTCTACCAGGAGGAAGCAAAATCCAGAGCAAGTGTCACAGAGAAGCTTCAGTCGGTCCTGGAGGATGACTGATGTTTCTAAGAATTGACTCACTGCTGATTAGTTTATGAATTTAAATAATTCTTGGTGTCCCATATGGTGCCGAGTACCACTAGAAATAATTCCTGAGTGCAGAGCCAGGAGTAACTTTTACTAAAATTTAGGAGTTGCTTTAACTTTTTTTTTCTTTGCTTTTTGGATGCACAGAGGTTACTCCTGGCTCATGCACTTAGGAATTACTCCTGGCGGTGCTAGGAGAATCATATGGGACACTGGGAATCGAACCCAGGTCAGCTGCATACACGGCAAACGCCCTACCCGCTGTGCTATCGGTCAAGCCCGTGCTTTAACTCTTGATGCCCAAAGTTCATACTATTTTATACAGACAGAATTACTTATTGAAGGGTACAAGAAAGTCAAATAAAATGAGTATATATCAAAATATTTATGCATTATTCACCTAATATTTTAAGAAACAACCGCAATTTTCCTAACTGCCTTACTGTTTCCACAGTAAAACTATGTAAAGTCTTTTGTTTGGAAACATCACAGATTTTTTAATAAACACTACATGCTTATCACATTAGAAAATTAGTATATCTTATCTTCACTGTTAAAAAATGTAACTTTTGCAGTTGTACAATTCATTCACTCATTTTATTATCTTCCCCCTCACCTCTAATCAATAGCAGAGAACTGACTGTGGTTGATTTAGACCTGGAAATCAGAATTTGACAATACCACTGTATAGCGTTGTCCTCCTGCTGTTCATTGTTTTGCTCAAGTGGGTACCAGTAAGATCTCACAACAAATTGTGAGACTTGTTGTTACTGTCTTTGGCATATCGCATACGTCACGGGTAGCTTGCCAGGCTTTGCCGTGAGGGTGAGATACTCTCGGTAGCTTCCCAGGCTCTCCAAGAGGGGTGGAGGAATCAAACCCGGGTCGGCTGCTGTGCAAGGCAAACGCCCTACCCATTGTGCTATCACTCCAACCCTTGATAATACCATCTACTCATAAAGAAATCTAGCCAGTGATGGACCGGAGTGATAGTACAGCAAGCAGGACATTTGCCTTGTATGCAGCCAACCCAGGTTCAATCCCCGGCATTGCATAGAGTCCCCCGAGCAATGCCAGGAGTAATTCTTGAGTGCAGCGCCAGATGAGCATCATCGAGTGTGCCCCAAACAACAAAACAAAACAAAAAAATAAATAAAATTTAGCTAATGAGCTTAGCATCATTTGTAGTACCAACATTGTTTGAAAAATTTGGCTTCATGAGACAGCGAATTTCACCTGATAGTGAACAGTACTGCACTATGTAAGTAGCACTGCTGCTTTGGCAAGCAAAGAATAATGAAAGGCCGGTGTAAATATCAAAATCAGAAGCAGGTTACCCACTTCCCCAAGCAGCCTGTGTGCCAAGGTGTTCAGGAAGCGCAACATGCCTCGTTGCTGCTCCCCTGCCCTAGGACCAGAGAGGTTAATGCCCACGGCCCACTCATGACCACAGACTCAAACCCACACCTGCCCTAGAAGCTGATCTTGCTTGGATGCCCGGACTTGGAGGTGGGGGCTGGTGGCAGTTACCTTTGTCACTGGAGTAAGGTGCGTGCACGGTGTTGCTGGGGACAGACACGTTCTGGGGCTGTGGCGGGTTCACGGTTTCTAGAAACGAGACCAGGTTCTCGTGGTGTGAGAGTTCCTCGGCGACCGGGAAGGAGACAATGTTCCAATTCAGCTGCGTGTCCCCCTCTGTGAGCGCCCGGAAGAGAGACGGGATGGGCTCATGTAGCTCTTCCACGGTGCTCTTCGATGTGGGAGGAGTGTCACTGTAGTTCCGAGGGTTGCACATGCCTAGGTGCAGGGAGGAAACGAAAGTTCACAGGCCACTGCTGGCCACTGTTGGCCACTGCAGTCGCCTGCTCAGCCCATGTCCCAAGCCCACTAGGGCACTCCTACACTGCTGCTGCTGCTGCCAGGCCTGGAAGGAGCAGCGAGTGTTCCCCACGAACCCAAATCCTGCTGCCCCTCTGCACAGGGGAGAGGCCGATGCCCGGCCAGAGAGCCTGCCCCAGTGCAGGCCTGGGAGACAATGAGCTGATGACGATGGTTTCAACCACTAGGTTTAGGGATAACTTAGTTGTCCCAATTAACAACTGGAACAGAGTTCCTCAGTCTGAAGGGCTAGAAGCAGACAAGCTGGACAGAAGGTGCTGCAGGCATCCTAAACAGACCAATTGTTTTGGATATAACAGAGTATAAAGAATCTCAGAGTTGAGTTTTTGATTCTACTTTAACTAACCTTTATGAAATTACCACTTGTCCCCTTCTGATGGAGTAGCAAAGAATAATATACACAATGATCTGAAATAGTTACTACAACAAAGGTGTATTCGATATGCCAAAAACAGAGATGGTATGTGTGGCCAACCTGGGGCTAGCTCCCAGCCCCTTATGTGGGACCCTGAACGTCATCCCACTAGCGGTGATCTTCGAGCTCAGAACCAGGAGTTGAGCATCACCAGGTGTGGCACCCCCACCACTAAAAAGAACAAAATGACCTCAGGTGCCTTTTTCTAGAAAGGAAAAAAAACAAGTTCCATTATTTTCAGACTACATGTACCAACAAACAAAAATAAAGGTGGCAATTCACCTGACATGCAGCAGCCGCAGTGGGGCAGGAAGCACTGCACTGCTGAGACAGGGAATGCCACTGGCAACAGTCCTGCTCATTGTTAAAGCCCACAGCTGGGCTTCACCGACACGGGGTTTCACCGACATGGCCATCATTCCCACCTGTCCTCAGGAGGGATCCTCACTCTACCGAGCCTCTGCAGGCAGTTGATGCAGAATGCCTGGGCCAGAGGCAATGTGGGAAAGGGCCACACCAATGGCCCTGGAATGGGCCACTTTTCAATGTTAAGGCTGAACCCAAAGGGGAAACGTGGCATTCACAATATACAGTTTTGTCTCTAATCCCAATTTATGGAGATTATGAAAAAAATCAATAGTTGACAATATTATTAAAGCCAACATAATTTTATATTCTATTTTCGGAGGATAGGCATTGGGAGCTACACCTGGCTGTGCTCAGGGCCATATGAGGTGCAAGAGAGGATGGGACAGGAGTCAGCAGCATGCAAGGCCAGTGCCTCATCCCCTGTACTCTCTCTGCTACCTAAATTTGCTACCGTAAGAGCTATGATGTTTGTAAATAAATACTATGGTTACAATTTCAGAATGATAGCACCTTCACAGGAAACTGAGTGTCGGACATGTATAACATACAAGAATCTATGGAATTTTACAGTCATAGAAGGGTTCTGGAAGGGAACATAAAATGAGGCTCCCATAACCATGCCGGACTCCGTACAGGCTGTTTTCACTCGGGGCACCCCAAAGTGGGGCGGGTGAGAGCCCTCCCCACCCCAAAGGACCCAGCTCCACTACCCAGCCGCCATCAAGCTCCAGGCCCCTTTCCAGATGCTCCAGGCTGAGCCTCACACATAAATGAAGTCCCACGGAACCCAGGTAATCTGGAACTTTGTGACCTTGGACTCTGGACTCAAAGGGACCTGGGAGAAGAGATCCTCTGCCTGCTTCCCTAGTCTCCGGTGACCCAGTGGTCACACCAATAAGCCACTCCCTGCTGGTACCAGATAATCTCCTCATGGCCACGCTCCAGACTCACTGGCTGCTTCTCCCGGAAGGGAGCCTAAAATGAGGCTCCCATAGCCATGCCACCGGACTCTGCGCCAGGCTGTTTTCACTCGGGGCGCCCCTGAGTGGGGTGGGTAGAAGCCCTCTCCACTCCAAGAGACCCAGTCCTGGCAGCCGACTTCCGCTACCCGGCCAACGCCGCCTTCCAGGCCGCTTTCCACTTCCTATCCATTTTCCATAATTATGTAATTACCACACCATATATGATAGGGTTCAGACATTAGGCAACAAATCATAGAGAGAAATACACACACACACACACACACACCCCCTCACACCCTCACACTCCCTCTTGGAGAGCCCAGCAAGCTACTGAACTGAGTATATCCCGCCTGCATGGGCAGAGCCTGGCAAGCTCCCCGTGGCATATTCGATATGTCAAACACAGTAACAATAATAGGTCTCATTCCCCTGACCCTGAAAGAGCCTCCAATCATTGGGAAAGACAAGTAAGGAGAGGCTGCTAAAATCTCAGGGTTGGGAGGAATAGAGACGTTACTGGTGCCCGCTCCAGTAAATCGATGAACAATGGGATGACAGTGATAGAGTGATACAGTGACAGAGGGGTTCACAGGTCCTAAGAAGCCAGACTATATGCTTGGATTGTGACTTTCCTCATGGAAGTCTGTGCTGAAGGGTTTTATTCAAACTTTTTAGACTCCGTTTCTCATCAGATGAGGGAGCAAAATTTTCAGACACTTTGGGCTCATTATCAGGACTTAATGGTTATTATAATGGAAATCCTTAGAACATAAAAGATGCCAGGCTACAGAGATAATACAGGGGTAAGGCACTTGCCTTGTACTCAGCCCAGAACCACACACGGTCCCCTGAGCTCCACCAGGAGTGATCCCTGAGTACAAAGCAAGGAATAAGCTCTTGAGCATAGTCCAAAGTGGCTCTAAAACCAAAAATTCAAAAAGAAGGCGGGGGGTGGGTTTACAACTTTAAGCTATGTATCTTACCTAACAGTTTGAAGGGAGGAAAAGGTTATTGGAATTGTTCCTAAACATTATGCTATGACTCATAATTTATGTAACAGATTTTAAAGTGAAAAAAAAAAAAGATATTTCATGATTTTGCGTTTTTCTTTGAAGAAAATTAACTAAAGAAGCAGCTACTGAGACTGGAGAGAGAGCACAGTGGTAAGGCATCTGACATGGGTTTAATCCCTGGCACTCCATATGGCAATGCAAGCCCTGACAAGTGTGATCCTGAGGGACAACCCTGACCACAGCCAGGTGTGGGAGAAAAAAATTAAAAAGAAGAAAAAGAAATAGAAGTAGCTACTATTACTAGCAGAAAGCATTTGTAATTGGGTAATTTTGGAAATAATGTACTATTTGACCAAATGAATAAAAACTCAATTTTGTCAGCTTTCTAAACTAATCTAGCAGCTTTGAAAGTAAGTCCTGGACAGGCAAGGATAATTCCCAAGTTTCTGATGTCCGTAAGTACTTTTTGGGGAACTATTACAAACATTTGTACCAATTTAACATATTTAGCAAAATGAAACTCAACAAACAAAACCATAACCTTTGTCTTATGAATTCTGACATATGTATTCAATCAAATAGAATATTTACAATGGCTGTTTGGGCAGAACTACTCCTGAAAAGAAAAATTGTATTTTAATTTGTTTTAGTTGAATCACAGTGAGAAACACAGAAAATTGTTCATGATTAAGTTTGTCATATTTTCAAAGAAAAAAATGAAAAACCATCCTGTCATCAGGGGATTTGGGTCTTTGCCTTTCAGCCCCCAGCTCGATGTGTGGGTGTCCCTTTCAGTGGCCTGGGGTCTCCGGGCCTCCTGCACACAAAGCATGTGCTCTGTCTGGCCGCACTCTGGCCCTTTTATTAGGGTTTAAAACAAACATTTACCATGCTAGCAGTCTGGCTGAGTTCCTGGCACTTCTGTGTTTTATTTTGGGAGCTGCTTTTGGGGGGAGTTGTGGGGGCACTCCCGGCAATGCTTAGGGCTCCCTCCTGGCTCTGTTCTTAGGGAACACTCTTGGCAGTGCTTGGGGGACAAACTGTGGTGTGTTAGCTGCAAGGCAAATACCCGCCATACTAGCTCCAGCCCATTTTTTTTCTTTTTAAAATTCTTTCCATTTTTATTTCAGGCCCCACGGTTTACAATCCTGTTAATGGTAGGATTTCATGCATAACACGATCCCTCACCATGCCCTCCCCCACAGTGCTCACTTCCTCCCACCACTATTCCCGTGTCACCCTGACCCCTCATCTAATGCCCCCATCCTCCAAGGTGAGCTTCCTGCCTAAGGCCAGTTCTTACTTTCTGTTACCTTTGGGTACTTGTTATTCCTCCTAATATGTCTCTTCACACCCCACATATGAGGGAGGTCATTCTGTGTCTGCCCTGTCCCGACTAACTGCACTCTGCATGATATTCTTCAGACCTATCATGTAGCAGTAAACGGCATTTTTAAAAAAATTTAAACTATGCTTCTATGTATTTTAACATAAAAATTTTACTGATTGAGACTCTGGTTTACAATACTATTAATAATGATTTCTCATGCACACCAGTCCAATACCATACCCAAACTGAATCATTTTATTTTTTCTTATAGTGGAGTAGTGTATCCACTCATGTATATATGGTATGTACCAATATAAGTATATATGTATATAGGTACTATGTGTATGTACTAGGTATATATGCCATATATGTACATAATATATACATAATACATACACACATATAAACTATGCATATGTACCATACTTTCTTACCTAGTTCTTGAATAGTTGGACTACTTCCAGATTTTGGCTATTACGAATGGTGCAGCAACAAACACATGAATGCAAATGTCTTCTGAATAGATTTTTTGCCTCTTGGGCCATATGCCAAGAAGTTGAACTGCTGGGTCTTATGAGAGCTCAATTCCTAGGTCTTTTGATAAAGGGAAGAATGTATTTTTGAATATGCTAAGTGCCACTTTTTTTTTACTTAGAAACGTAATGCACACTTCTTTTCTTTTTTCTTTTAGGGCCACACCTGGCTGTCGGCAGAGCTTACTCCAGGCTCTGGGATAGGGGTCTCCCGATAGGCTCAGGGGACCACCATATGGGGCGCCAGGGACTGAACCCAGGTCAGCTACATGCAAGGCAAACACCCTACTTGTCATTCTATCTTTCTGGCCTCTATAATGCACATTTCTTATACAAAATATGTATTTTTTAAAAAGTCAAGTAGTGCATCTATTTCTACCTCTCAAGAGCAAGTACTGCCTATTTCCCCCCCAGACCTTTCACAGAGAAGTGAAATGTAGGGGACTGGACTAATATATAGCAGGTAGGGCACTTGCCTTGCACGCAGCTGACCTGGGTTTGATCCCTAGCATCCCATATGGTCCCTCTAGCTCGCTAAGAACAATTCCTGAGCAGAGTCAGAAGTAAGCGCTGAGCACTGCTGGGTGTGGCAAAAAAACAAACACAAACAGTGAAGTGCATCCACACACTGCTTGGCAGAAGCCACCAAGTGCCACCCAACCGCGCGGGCTTCCGCCTTACCCACGCAGTCGCAGCACTCGTCCCAGAGCGTCCCGAGGCACAGCATGCACTCCTTGCAGCACGAGCAGTTCCCTTCTCCAGGGCGGCACTGGCAGAGCTCCTGGAACAGCACCGAGGTTCAGATTTAGAATTCCCAGCAACTATCTGACAGCGAAACCCTAGACTACCTGCATTTACAGTAATTTACCTGAAATGGTTTTTACCAAAGTAAAAAAAAAGTAGCACAAACTTGCTGATGGAATATCAGTATCTACAAAATAGTTTTATACATTTATCAGACATATTCCATGAACGAACCTTGGATGCTTTTATCTTATTTTCAAACAGAGATAACTTTTTGCATTGCAGCCCAGAACTGTACCCCCTGCCATCTTTGTAAAATAACCCAGTACAAGAACAAAATTTACTTTTCGGCTCTTAGCAGCAGTCACTGCCCAAATTAATGCAAACAGATCATTTCTAATAGAAAATCACAGTTTCTCAAAACACAGAGGGCAAATAAAAGCATTTTTTAAAAACTGCTGTTTTCATGTGAGTTCTGACTGTGTGAGCAGAGGTTTTATTTCTCTACCAAAATAAAATCCAGTAAAAACTGCTTTCAACTGGCCTACATTATTCCGTGCCTTCTGTGGCAGATGCTCACAGAGCCGCAGTGATGAGTTCCCTCCCTCGCTGTTCAGGGAACTTCAGAGCCCTTGGGAGAAGGGCCCATTCCCAGGTAGCCTCAAGGTGGCCGGGGACGAGACAGGACCCCTCCCCACAGTCAAAAATAGTCCAGGGCTTTCCTGAGAGGCAGGGATGCTTCATAATACTGGAGATGTCTGACAATGATAGGTCTCTTCCAGTGTGGCTGATTTTTTAATACAATTGTTTTTAACTGAAGACATATTTACTTTGATGTGATAGGAGAGAAGGAGAGAAAAACATGTTCAAGTGAGAACATGGGCTTCTCCAAAGTGGAAAAAGTGGAGGAGAGAAATGTGTGTTCCAGAGAGAACAGTCTTCCCTGGACTGGAAAAAGCCTCTCCCAGTTTATTAATGCAGGTTTGTTCCAAGGCTTCCAGACCAGGCTTCGACTGGGTGCCACCCTGGCATACAGAACTATGGCCAACACAAACAAGGTCTGCAGGCTTCAAGAAAAACTGTACTTGTTACTTTCAAGAATAAAGCATAGGGTCATCTCTAGAAATGAGGGGTATATTCAGTGTACACAGGGCCTAGCCCTAGCAGTGCTTGGACAAACAGTAGATGCTGGGGATGGAGCATGGGTTTTCCTCATGTAACCACCTAACCCTTTTTTTGAGAAACCTATAGTTTTGTTGTCGTTATAGTTGCATGGCGGCCATATTCCATGGTGTTCAGAGCTTACTCCTGGCTCCGTGCTCTGGAATCCCTTCTGGCAGGGCTTGCATGAAAGGCAAGAGCCTCACTCATGGGACTTTCTCTCTCTGGCTCTATCGTATGGAACCTAGCTTATGACAGGGCAGAAACCTGAAGGATGTAGCTTGCTCATAAATTCTTCCCTTCCTATCATGAGACCCCACTCCTTCTTGACCCATCAGACCTTCACTTGCTTTACTTGTTCAAGAATATAAAACTTCTATTTGTCTTATTTACTCTAGAATGTGGCTGGAGCGATAGCACAGCAGGTAGGGCCTTGCACACAGCTGACCTGGCCGATCCGAGTTCGATTCCTCTGTCCTCTCGGAGAGCCCGGCAAGCTACCGAGAGTATCTCGCCCGCACGGCAAAACCTGACAAGCTACCTGTGACGTATTTGATATGCCAAACACAGTAACAACAAGTTTCACACTGTTACTGGGCCCACTCGAGCAAATCAATGAACAACGGAAGGACAGTGACTTTAGAATGTATAGCCATGTACAGTTTTCATCTGCATGATACTTAAATTTGTTCTTTTTCTCTAATTTGTTAATTTGTTTGCTCAACCAGCCCTGCCCTCCCACCCCCGGCAAAAAAAAAAACACCTCAGAGAAGCAAGAAAAATATTCCCCTGCAGCAGCGCCTTTTCACATGGTTCAGATAATCTGCAACTTACCCAGAAATCTAGAAAAACAGAATTATCGAAGTTATACTTTATGAACTGTTCATCCATACAAATCTTTTTGTCCTGTTTTAGACAACAGGACAGTAATAAACCTTATAGTTCAGTCATTTCTGAGAACATTCAGAGTAAGAGAACATTTCCCTGTATACATTTGGAGGGGAGGAATGCCTTCCAAGCACGTGCTCAGGGGCCAAGGGGCCCCACCCAGGATGCTTCCCCAATGGGCCAGAGGTGTCCATGGCAGGACCTGAGAAGGATAAAGCCAAGGATCACGAGGGCACATGTGGGGGGTTACAGGAAAGCCTGCCATCTGCCCCCCGTGCTATCTCCCCAACACCCTGAGTGCACATTTTTACAAACAGAGTTAAGAATACTGATACTTTTTGTTCTCTAGTTTTACCACTGTACTATGTCAGGGATTACTCCTGGCTCTGTTGTCAGGAGGGTTCCCAGGACCACACATGGTACCAGAGATCAAACCCAGATTGGCAGCATGCAAAGCTTACTTACATTAAGCTATCCCTTCAGACCGAGACAAAATTATTTCTAATTTACATTTTTCATACAATATTCTTTAGTATTTTAGTTGCTTATATTTATACTGTTTACTTAGGAGAAACAAATCAGCAAAGTAAACTTTTCTACTTATTTTGGTTTGGGGACCATACCAAGTAGTGCTCAGGACACACTCCTCACTCTGCAACTCCCGGGTCACTCCTGGTGGGGTTCAGGGGACAATATTCAGTGCCAGGGCCTGAACCAGGGTTGGCATTGTGAAAGGTGTTTACCCTCATATTACCCCTCCAATCCTCAAAAACTAAATTTGTTCAAAGAATAAATCTCTTCTATCACTCTTTCAAGGAATAGCTTGTTACATTTATTACTGAATATCTTATTAAACAATTTAAAAATGAATGAAGATTTGAATAGTGAGCACTAGAAAAATTCTTGTTTAAGGCATTCACTGTATTTTTTACTGTCAGGTATTTATGAGGTGTTTTAAACTGGAATAAAAAGACTAGGTGAGGGGCTGGAGCAATAGCACAGTGGGTGGGGCGTTTGCCTTGCACGTGGCTGGCCTGGGTTCGATTCCCAGCATCCCATATGGTCCCCTGAGCACTGCCAGGGGTAATTCCTGAGCGCAGAGCCAGGAGTAACCCCTGTGCATTGCTGGGTGTGACCCAAAAAGCAAAAAAAAAAAAAAAAGACTAGGTGAAAACCTGAGATTACAACTAAGTTATGGGAAGGTAAAAACTAAGAATGCTGAAAACTGCTTGAAGGCTGGAAAGATATCTGCAGGGCTGAGCTGCAAGAGGCTGAGTTCAGTCTCTGCACTGCATGATCCCCTGAGTACTACCTGGAGTTACTCCTGAGCACAAAGCAAGGAGTAGCTAATGAGCACCATGTCAGGGTAAGATTCCAAGCTCTCTAGCCAAATTTAAAATAACTGCTTAAACTTGCCTGGTTTTTCTAGCCCTCAAAATTAAATGTGTTTACACCCTCTTAACAGATATCTGTCAGATGTCAGTTTAATAAAAATGTACACTGTGGTACTGTGTGTAACAAGTTACAATTTACTGCAACATACAAAGTAAAAGGCTACAGAAGTCAAGATATAGGGGAATAACTTAAAGCCAATCTTTTTCTTGGGGTGGGGGATCACACAGCAATGCTCAGGGGTTACTCCCAGCTGTGCACTAAGGAACTACTCCTGGGGGTGCTCAGGGGACCATATGGGATGCCGGAGATGGAACCCAGGTCAGCTGCATGCAAGGCAAAAGCCCTACTCACTGTACTACCACAAAGGCCCAAAGCCAATCTTCTTCTTTTTTTTCTTTTTGGCTTTTTGGGTCACACCCAGCAATGCACATGGGGTTCCTCCTGGCTTTGCACTCAGGAATTACTCCAGGCGGTGCTCAGGGGACCATATGAGATGCTGGGAATTGAACCTGGGTCGACCACTTGCAAGGCAAACACCCTCCATTGTACAACTACACAAAGATTCAAGTTAAGGTTTTCTTTTGAGGGGCTGGAGCGATAGCACAGCGGGTAGGGTGTTTGCCTTCCACCTGGCCGACCCAGGTTCAATTCCCAGCATCCCATATGGTCCCCTGAGCATCGCTGGAGTGATAGCACAGCGGGTAGAGTGTTTGCCTTCCACCTGGCCGACCCAGGTTCAATTCCCAGCATCCCATATGGTCCCCTGAGCATCGCCAGGAGTAATTCCTGAGTGCAAAACCAGGAGTGACTCCTGTGCATTGCCGGGTGTGAACCAAAAAGCAAAAAAAAAAAAAAAAGTTTTCTTTTGAGCCTGTCTGGAGGCTGGGAATTTGATCCCTAGTGCTGTCTACATGTACCAAGCATGGATGGAGCCTGCACCCCTGCTGTCTGAGACTGGTGAGGCAATGGTGTGAGTCAGTAGCACCACTGAAGATGCGCACGCCACAAGGCCGGAAATCTGGTTCGCAGCACCAAGGAAGACACACGTGCCAAGGCCGGGTACCTGGTCCCCAGCACCACAGAAGACCTGAGCGCATGTTGGCCAGGAACCTGGTCCCCAGCTCCATGGAAGACACGCACCACAGCGGCCGTGAACTTGGTCCCCAGCACGACAGAAACAGTCCCCTGGCCAGCAGATGAGTGTCCAGGTGGCCTCCAGTGAACCCCACAGCTACACACTTGTGGTGCTCACCCCTCGGGAGAACAAGCACAGCAGCTGAAAGCAGTGTGGTCCACAGCCCGCAGGGCAGTTGAGCACATGGGCTCTTGCTGAGGGACGAGCCCAGCTGGGCCAGCGACAAAGGGCAGGGTCGGGCAGGGTGGCAGAGGAAGAGGAGCAGCAGCCCTGGGAGCGGGGAACATCTGCCTGCCTGCTCTACACCCCCGCCCCCCTCCGAGAAATACAACAGAATCCAGACACAACAGACTAGATGAAACATCTGGGGCAGCATTCAAAATTATTCAGTAAAAGATTTAGGGCAACATGACCCATCTCAGAAGACAAAAAATCAATATAGACCAACACTGAGTTCAACCAAATGCTGGGTTTAAAAAACCACCAAACATCAATTGTAACTACATTCAATGATGGGGTGTACAATATGTTAACAACACACACACACACACACACACACACACACACATATATATATACATACATTCATATATATGGAATCTGACTAAAGAAATCAGATTGATTTGGTTCTCAGAATCAAATGTTACAACAGAAAAAAGTATAGTATCTGAAATTTTAAAAATTTCAGAACAGAGTAATCAGTCAACTTGAACTTAAAAGTCCCAATTATTCATTCTCCTTCTTGCCCATATTTTATGAGTTTTTTTTAAATTTTATTATTTCCAAGTGAGGTTTCTTTTCCTTTTATAGAATTCCACAAAGTTTTCTTGGATTACTGGTTTTGTGGCAATTAATTGCTGTGTGTCTGAAAAAGTTTTTTTTTATCCCTCCTCAAATGTGCATAAGCTTTCTGGAAGCTTCTTCTTGGCTGGCTCTTCCCACCGAGTGCCTCGAGTCCAGGCACTTCCCTCCAGCCTGATCTGCTGATATTCTCCCATAGGTTCCCTGCATGTGAATTTTACTTTTCTCTTGTTGTTTCTAGGATTCTCTCTTTAGCTTCGATTTGTGTCATTTTATTATCATTAATTTTGGAATCTCCCTGGTGCTCAGGATGCCTCAGGACCCCTCCAGATGACTCGCTCAATGCAAGGGCCTGACTCTGGGCTGCTGCACGGTTCCTACTGTGCTGGGGGTTCCCCGGGACCCTGCAGATGCTCGGGAGCCCCCAGGGCCATAACCGTGGTGTGGAGGTACCTTCATGGCTGCACTGGAGATGTCCAGAACTGAATTGGTCACACACAAGGCACCTCACCCCCTATGTAGATCTCTCACCCTGGATTTGTGTGTATGGATTTGGGGTCATACTCTGCAGTGCTCAGGGATCACTCCTGTCAGGGTTTGAGGGCTAGACCGGGTGCCAGAAGCCTGGTTGGCTATGCGCAAGGCACTCAACCCACTGTACTAACTCTCCATTCCAGATCTGTGTCACTTTTAACTTTGTGTCGGTGGTGTGTATATATCTGGGCTAACGCTCAGAATTCTTTGCATTTCAACCCGTCCTGCACCCAAGCACCTCAACACTTCCTGTTTGGTGAAGATATGGGTCACTGTTTCCAAACAGGAACGTTTCTTTCTTCTTTTGGAACCCATGATTTGAAGGTGGTTCCTCCCAATATCCTGCCACCCCTTACAGTCTTACCTTATTATCCTCAAAAAACAATATTTAATTTTCTTTTTCTTTTTTTCATTTAGATGGTTTTCACGACTTTACCTTCAAGCTTGCTGGTTTCTTCCATTTTGCTGCTCTATTCCCCGCTACTGCATTCTAGTTTAATTACTGTATTCTTTAGTTCTATGGTTTCTGTTTGAAGTTTTTGCAAATACTTTTAATTCAATTTTTAAAAATGAATTTACTAGGGTGAGACAGACTGTATGAAGGCAAGGCACTTGCCTTGCACACAGGTGACCTGGGTTTGATCCCCAGTACTGCACATGTTCTGAGCACCATCCCTGAGCACAAGCCTAGGAGCACATCCTAAGGAATGCTGAGTGAAGCCCAGAAACTCAACACCTGCCCAGCTTTGCCCTGTGCTCAGTGCTCAGGGACCACTCCCAGCAGTGCACAGTAACCACTAGGTCCTGGGGACTGAACTGGGATTTGCTGCATGCAAGGCTCGCACCTTAACCCTTGTGTCTCCAGCCCAAATTCTCTTTCATGCTTTCTTTGCTACCATTCTTTCCTGTGATGTCTCACTCTGCAGCATTCAGACTATTTTGAAGGTCTTCTCCAGGTAGCCTGCAGAACTCTGATGTATTAGTGTTTTTTCCAGGCAAAATTAGTTTTGTTCTGATTCATCCAGGCGGATTTCTCAGTCTCCCCATTATATCTGGAGCTTTCCATGAGCCTGGGCAAGGGAAGGGGGCCTGTGTCTGTTAGCCCGAAAGTGGATTTTCCTGAGGTCATGGGTTCTTAAGAATTGAATGAAATGTCTGCACACAAAACTCAGATGCTTGAAAAATTATAGCTTAAGGGGTTGGAGCAATAGCACAGTGGGTAGAGCGTTTGCCTTGCACGCAGCCGACCCGGGTTTGATTCCCAGCCTCCCATATGGTCCCCTGAGCACCGCCAGGAAGTAATTTCTGAGTGCAAAGCCAGGAGTAATCCCTGAGCATCATCGGGTGTGACCCAAAAGGCAAAAAAAAAAAGTTACAGCTTATTCTACAGTTTAAATAAAGGGCTCTGGCTTCTTCCTGTATGATGACACGGTCCTGTCTGGTCCAGAGCACCGTGTCGCAGTTGCCTGAAGCGTATGGTGATCTGGTCTTGTCCTCATGCCTTCTCACCTGCAGCAGATGGCTGCCCGATCCGGCGTCTGTCTAGCTTGTCATGGAGTCTTGCAAGTCCTGTCACCCATGTCTCTGTGCTGGGCGCCTTGAGCACTGTACCCCAGTGGTCCCCATCACTCCAGCCTCCGTTAGTCTCCGGTCACATATTCATGGGTAAGATCTCTGTGCTTTGTACCTTCCTGCCACCTGGGCCTAAGAGAACTGTCTGGTTCTGCTGTCTCTCCAGGCATAGATGTGTAGGGGAGGGAAAGGAGAGAAGGAGGGAGAGAGAGAGAGAGAGGGAGGGAGGGAGGGAGGGAGAGAGAGGAGACAGAGAAGAAAATGAGAGAGTGAAAATGAGAAAGAGAGAGCCCTTCTTTTTCCTATTTTTCTTTTTCTTCTAATGTTTTCGTCTTCTTGTTCAGGGGGCTTCCTTTGATGTGCCGCTACTTCCTAGGCCCAGTCATCCATTACACATCCTTGATCGGATACCTTTACAGGTGGGTGACATCAAAATGATGGATTGACTAGATTCATCTGCCCCTGCTTCCACTCCCATGGTATCATGTTCAGGCAGATCAGGGTGCTGAGCAGGGTCAGGAGTATGTGGGGGCACTGTCCTGAGTATGGGAGGGCCTGGCTACTGAGAGGGCCTGGCTACTGAGATGGGTTCAGCACTGCCAGTGCCCGCAACCCCCACGTGTAAGGGCCCCAGGCCGTGCTGGGGAGGGCTGCGGAGGAGTCTAAGTTCCAGCCAGAGAGAGCACTAACCTCATGGCTCCAGGCAAGGCAGCCATGCTTTGGATGTCTGTGCAAAAGTGTTTCCAGTCGGGGTATGCCTGACTCTGCTGCAGTCAAACATGGGCTGGGTTTGTCTGTGTGCCAGCAGAAAGCACAGATAACGGCTGCGCTACACCCAGCAAGTTCTCAGTTGTTAGCCTGGGCTGGTGCAACTACCTGTCCTAAGAACTTTGCCTCTGGTTCTGGAAGCATCCAGATCCTATAGGATGAATCCAGTACGTGTTGACCAGCAAAACTGCCAACATTCCTTTAGTCAGATTTTTCATGCCTTTTCAACTTTATAAACACACTTAACTTCACACTATCCAGGAGAAAAGTAGCATAGAGACAAATCCATTAGACAACATAAAACAGCCCCAAAACTTCATTGCATATGAAGAGCAAAAACCTCTGAAAACCACTTGCTGTGACTAATTCTAAATCAAGAAAGACTGGAAACAATACATTTCCAAGTATAAAGGATTATGAATAAGAGCTTTCTGTAGCCCATCAACTAATTAATTCTTTTCTAATCACTGTACATATTTTTCAAATCTCATTACTGAATATTTGTTCATAAACTATTTGAAAAATGTATGCTTTCACTTTTTGGGCAGCAAGAAAACTTTTAGGATTATTTTTTCTAACTATAAAATTAATTTGTAGTGCACGCTTCATTGTCTTTTTTCTTTATGTCAAGAAAGAAGATATTCCTGATGTGCTAAACTAGCCTTTGGAGGTAAATTAGCAGCATGATTTACTAGCCATTGCTGTCAGTCATCTTCAGACTGACATAAATAAATAAATCACTGCATCACTGTATCACTGTCCTCCCACTGTTCATTGATTGGCTAGAGTGGGCCCAGTAACATTGTGAGACTATATTTGGCATCAATGGTAGCTTGCCAGGCTTTGCCCTGCGGGCGAGATACTCTCGGTAGCTTGCCGGGCTCTCCGAGAGGGGCGGAGGAATCAAACTCGGGGCGGCCATGTTGGCTGCGTGCAAGGCAAACGCCCTCCCACTGTGCTATCGCTCCAGCCCTTCAGATAATAAAAAAGAAAAAGAAATTTAAGTGCTTTGAACTTAAGTATGAGAAATACAAAAGAAAAGAATACTAAAAATGCAACTCTGTTATGAATCAAGAATCACAGAAAAACATTTTAAAGATTTCTCCATTTTGGGAGTCAGAGTGATGGTACAGTAGTTAGGGTGCTGCCTTGCGCGCAGCTGACCCAGGTTCATCCCCAGCATCCCATATAGTCCCCCAAGCACTGCCAGGAGTAGTCACTGAGCAACCCAGATACGGCAAAAAAAAATTTTTTATTTTAAATCAAAACAACAAAACTGAATGATGACTTCAGCCTTTTAATTTTTATTGGGAGGGTTGGGAGCAGCAGCCCACCCGGGGCAGTCAAGTCTTGGCTTTGTGCTCAGGAAGTACTTTTAGCACTGCTTGGCCCCATGTGGGACTGGCTTTTTAACCTGGTCAGCCAGGCAGGGCAAGTAAGTTCCTTACCCCTGTACTCTCTCTCTCCTGTAAAGTAGTTTTTAATGACTCCTGGGCAAAAACAAAACAAAGTAGATTTAAATTATAAAAGACTTTGAGCGTTGGAGAGACAGCTCAATGGGCTGAGCACAAGCTGTGCATAAAGGAGGCTGTTTGGGTTTGATCCCTCCAATACTGCAGCACCTCCAGAAAAGAATCCTCAGCATCAGGCCAGTAAAACCCTCTCAGGGGCCCAAGATGTGCCTCAGTGGCATCCTGGCACCACAGAAACAAAGCACCAAAAGTACCAACAAATAAATAGATGACCTAGATGCTTTCAGTTATTTATGGCCAGTCCTCCCTCAATGTTCGTAAGTGGGTTTCATTTCACACTAACAGTGCTAAGTTTTATAAGTTTTTTTTTTTTTCGCTATTTGGGTCACACCTTGCGTTGCACAGGGCTTACTCCTGGCTCATACACTCAGGAATTACTCCTGGCGGTGCTCGGAGGCCTATATGGGATGCTGGGAATCAAACCCAGGTCGGCCACATGCAAGGCAAACGCCCTACCCGTTGTGCTATCACTCCAGCCCCTCCCCTTAAGCATTATCTTAATCTCATAAAGTTCTTTTCAAAGTAGCTATCTTCCTTTTTCAAATAAGGTCATAAAATTTATATTTCATTCAACTGATAAATGACTAAGATCTGACACCAGTTTTGGTTAGATATCCCTGCTTTTTAAACATTAAAACGAGAAGTATAAAGCTTATTTATTATTAATTTAGCATGCCAATGATTATAATTATTACTCTTTTAGAGAGAATGAACCTGTACTTAACCCTAGATAACCCTTTCAGTTGGTTAATCAAAGGTATCATTATCTCATGCACTCTTAGTATCTGAATACAATTAGAAGTTCTATTGCCCAAGTTTAATCACTGTTTGTAAAAGGAAAAATAAGAATCATCGGCTAAGAGTTGCAAGACCTGTGAGTTGGAATTTAATGTCTAATTCTTTTATGTTCCATCCATCTAAAAAGCATTTTATGGGCTTCCCTAGTCTGTAAAGCTCAGAGAAAGTGTGGGTGCTGCTCATGGTTTGGATGAGAGGCTGGGAAGAACTGGGCTAGTGGCTTGTTTGAATTGAGCTCTGCCATCAAGGTCTTTGATTCATACCTCCTCCTACCATCCCCTTGCTGCACGGCAGACCAGGTAGTGGGGAATCATTCATCTATGAAACACTTTGTTACATGTTCTGTGTTTATTGATCACAATTATTTTAGGATGGCAAGAATTAAAACGGTAACAAACAGAAAACAAAGTTATATATCTGGGCTTTCCTATATTAACTGCACGATTAGAGGTGATTTGATAATCTGACTTAAAAAGCTAATATGAAATGAAAAACCACCAGGATGCATAATTTTATGGGAAAGTCTAATTTTAAATGTATTTTACATCTGTACTAAGAAAAATCTCAAATATGACAAGAGGATTTTGAATTCTGAATTCCTGAAGATGGATTTCATTATTTAACTTTAACAGAAAATTTGATTCCCTATACAACTAAGGTCCGGTGACATATCAAGCTTCCTTTCAAAATCAATGGGGGATCATTTTGGTTATGGTCTAATCTTAGGATATAAGACCAAGATTAGACCATAAGAATTAAAATGTAGGGGCTGGAGCAATAGCACAGAGGATAGGGCGTTTGCCTTGCACGCGGCTGACCCAGGTTTGACTCCCAGCATCCTATATGGTACCCTGGGCACCACCAGGGGTAATTCCTGAGTGAAGAGCCAGTAACCCCTAAGCATCGCTGGGTGTGACCCAAAAAAGAAAAAAAAAATTCTCATTAAAAAAATGAATTAAAATCTAAGGGACAGAGAAATAATACAGTAGGTAGGACTCTTGCTTTGCACTCAGATGACCTGGGTTCAATCCCCAGAACCCTATATAGTCCCCTGAGCCAAGTCAGGAGTGACTCCTGAGAGCAGAGTCAGGAGTAAGCCCTGAGCACCCTGGGTGTGGTCCAAGAATAAACACAAAAAAACAAAAAATTAAGTTTATGAACTTCTGAATTTCTAGGACAGAGATAAAAACTAGTAATGAGAAAAAATTTTACAAATATAGTGCTACAGCTAAGTATTTCCACTCCCAAGTGTTGCTGCGATCTGTGATCTGAGATGTGAACAAAGCCGCTGAGACTTGAAAACACCATCACAATCTCAAAAACAGCAAATTACACTAGGAGTATCTGGTTTCAAGTACTAGTTCCTAAGCTTCAGTGTAAAACCAAGCTTCCGTTCTCAGTCATCCAGGTGATGAAATCCTGGATTCCCCCTGACAAATTCTGGCATCCAAGTAATACAATCATGACCATCAAAATGTTTTGGTGACCAGCAATTTCACCCCCAGGTATTTACTGAAGAGAAAGGTAAACAAATGTCAACACAAAGAACTATACGAGAAAGTAAATATTAGCTTTATTCAGAATTATAAGATTAAAATCAATTTAACATCCATTCGCTAATGAATAGATAAACAAATTGTGATACAATCCACCCAACAGAACACTACTGAGCAATGTACGGAAAGAATACACATAACCATATGGATTTATCTAAATGAAGGAAACCATAGTGATGAAAGAGTACACATTACATGGTTCTATTTACATGACATTCTTGAAAAAGCTTCCCTACAAGAAAAAATGATGTTTGCCTTGCCCGTAACTAACCTGCGTTCCATCCGAGGCACCTGATATGTTTCCCTGAGCAAGGCCCGGGGTAAGTCCTGGGCACTGCCTGATTTAGCCCCCCCCAAATAAAACCAAAACAGTGAAAGAAGTCTGTGTTTTGATAGTAAGATTCTGAATGATTACCTTATCTTTCTCTACTTCCATGTCTTGGACTATGAAATAGCTTAATAATGGCAAACATCTATCATTTCTTGAAAGAGTCTATACAATTAAAAAAGTAAGACAGGCAGAAAGAGGGGGACAGACATAGAAAGACTGCATTCATCTGGGGAATATAAAGTAACAAAATGGGAGACCAACACCCAACAATAGCCAAGGTAAGTACCAGGAGGTTCACTCCGGGGTTTGGAGGCCAGCCGCACATTCTGGGGGACAAGGCAGCTCAGATAGAGAGGGGAGCACCAAGTAAAGGGTGTTGGGAGGATCCTCCCAGGATGAGAGATGCATGCTGAAAGTAGACTATAGACCGAACATGAAGGCCATTCAATGCCTCTTTTGCAAACCACTGCACCCAAAAGGAGAGAGAGAACAAAAGGGAACGCCCTGCCACAGGGGTGGGGTGGGACGGGGGTGGGGGGGGGGTGTGGGGGAGGGATGCTGGGAGCATTGGAGGTGGGGAATGGGCACTGGTGGAGGGATGGGTACTCAACCATTGTATAACTTAACCTTAAGCACAAAAATTTGTAAGTCTACAACTGTATCTCATGGTGTTTCACTAATAAAAATAAAAAAAATAGAAGCTAAAAAAAATTAAGACAGGGCTGGAGAGAGAGCATAATGAGTATGGTACTTGTGTTGCATGTGGCTGAGATGGTTACCCAAGCCCCACCAGGGGTGATTCCTGAGCACAGAACCAGGATAAACCTTGTACATTGCTGGGTATTGCCTCCTCCCCAGCCCCCCCCCCAAAAAATTTTTTTAAAACATTTCATTGGGCTTCAGAGAGAGTTCAGATAGTACAGGGCACTGCCAAGTAAGAGGCCAACCCAAGTTCAATCCCAGGGACGACATATAGCCCCACACGTAGTCACATCAGGAGTAACCTCTGAGCAGAGAACCAGGAGCAGCCCCTTGACCACTGCCTGGTGTGGCCCTACCCCCCCCCCCCCCACCAAAAAAGATAATGAAGCCAGGGGTGTGGCTTAAAGTGACAGAACATATCACTCAAGCATGTACGATCCTGAATTCAAGTCCTAGTACCCGGGCATGGCGAGGTACGACCCCAGTGGCCACTCCTAGCACCAATGGTGTGGGTCCCATGCTCAAGGTCCCTAGGGACCACTTCCAGTGACCTCTGGCCCGTGAGGACCCCCAGTTCAGTTTCAGGGTCTGCCAGGGGCTCCCCTTTGGCAAAGTCTGGGAGGCTGTATTGTACAGAAGCTGGCTCTCATCTCTGTACTAAGCCCTGGCCCACACACTTTAGTTCTTAAATATTAAACTGTGTTTTATTTTTTTGAGCTACAACTTGTGTTGTTTAGGGGCTATTCCTGGCTCTATACTAAGGACTGACTTCTGGCAATGCTCAGGGCACCATATGTGGTATCGG